CATAGTAACGACTATCAAGCAAAACCAATTTATTTTTATGCATTTTATCTGGAACATAGGATCCACCATTTTGAATTTTAAAAAAATAACATCAGATTCGTAATCAGCGACACCAAAAACCCCCGAGTAACGAGTTTCAAGCCAATTTGATCAAATTTTATATGTGTCATCCGCCATATTGAATCCGCCATTTTGAATTTTAAAAAACTAACATCACCATCGTAATCAGGGACCTCAAAAACCCTTAGAGCACCTTTAGTTATCAAAAAAATTATACTCAATTTGTTTTAAAAGAGGAGAGAAAAAGTATGTCTATTATAACCTCAATTATTCAAAACCAAAATAATGTTTAATTAATTTCTAATAAGTTCGAATAAGTTGACTCAAAATCCACCAAGAAAAATGTTTTTTCAAAGAAATACGAGCTGCCACCTTGTGCAGTAATGAATAATGGAGATTTTTTAATGAAACTTCTGACTTCCACGTAAATTTTTAAGGTTATAAAATTATTATTAACGTTTCTGCTTATTTTTCCTGTAATCTGTGTACATCAATCTTTACTCTCCAACAAGATTTATCCTTTTATGTTGTTTCTGCTCAGAGTTCTACGATTTTGGAACGAAAAAGAGCGAAATCACCCACTGTGCGGGGGTAAGTAATTGGCGCCATCCTTATCAAAATCCCGGATGAAGGAATGTCGTGGTAGTAAATTAACTTCTTATTTAAATTATGAAAATACTAATTTTGAATTAACAGACAAAATTAAACTCACTTAAATAATTGTCCCATTGGAATCTGAAATTGACGAAAAAGTATTGATTGAATCGGTTCCAGAATGTGGAAATCCAAGTATTTTACCTGAAGGTAAAATTTGGATCAGTGAAAATCTAATCAATAAAGAAAAAGCCTATTTACATAACGTGCCGACTATGACAGAATTAATAAAAAAAAATTAGAGACAGAAAATTTATTAGAAAGCGATTTAGATATGTGAAATTGATAAAAATAAAATTGAAGAAATATTTGAATTACAAAAAAAGAACATTGAAAGAAAGGTGCAAGTATTGGCAGTGTGTGAATCAGAAAATGATAGTGAAAATGGAGATGAAATTAATAAATTTATTCATATTTCAAAAGAAAATTTGTGGATGAGAGAAGATAATTTAATTAATTTCGTATCGTGTGATTTTGTAATATCCACACCTATAGGGAAAGAATTAAAAGAATTAGGTTTAATTTATCAAATGCTATGAAAATGCAAATGCAAGTAGAAGTATTTCGAGATACAAGAAGGAAGCAAAAAATTTTCCATTTATTTATTAAAGAAAAATTTAATGATAAATTTTATTTAGAAAATTTAGAATCAGTAGTTGAAACATTTAAAGAAGCACTAAAAACTGAAAACTTTTAGTCTTTCAAGGGAAGGTAAGAGGTTTGATAAAACACCGTGGAATTTAATCGAAAATAATTTTAAATTAAATTTTGAGAATGAAAATTATAAAATGACAATATGTACTGGAGAAGTAGAAATACTAAAAGAAAACGAAAAATTAACTATTATACAAGAAAATCATGATAGTGTAACAGGGGGCCATAAGGGAGAAACAAAAACTTTAGAAAGAATTAAAGAAAAGTATTGTTGGAAAGGAATGAAACGAGAAGTTCAAAATTATATTAAAACATGTGAATCCTGTCAAGAAAAGAAATTAACTAGAGTAAAAACTAAACAACCTATGAAAACTACCGACACACCTAACAAAGTATCTCCATTTATCAGTGAAATTATGGCAACAATAGCTAAATAATTTAAAATTAAACAATTTGAATCTACAGCTTATCATCCTCAATCAATAGGATGTTTAGAGCGAAGTCATCACACCTTTATAGAATATTTAAGGCATTATTGCGAAAAAGCGGATTGGGATTGTTGGTTAGCATCATCAATATTTTCATTTAATACTTCTGTACACGAATCAACAGGAGTAACCCCTCATGAAATGGTTCTTGGTAGAAAAGCTCGCATTCCATCAGAATTTTCAAAAAATCAAATCCCTATGACAAACTATTTTTATGTAAATTATTTATTAAAACAAATCTCGGAAACAAAAACTATGGTAATTTTAAGACTTTTAGCTGCTAAACAACGATGTAAGAAAAAAATTTTTTAAAAAACCAAAAAATATATATATATAAAATTTTATATAACAATAAATAAAATATATAACTATTATTTATGTTGAGACGATCTCTATAAAGATGGTCTAATTGTTTGGACGGTCTTTTAGACGGTCATTAATATTTTAGTTTTCCCTCGATGAAAATCATTGTAGAATCTCACTTTTAAACTCCTAGACAGATTATCCAGAGGGTCGATTCCGTAACTTTCCCACTTCCCACTTCCCACATCTCACTTCCCACATCTCACTTCCCACATCCCACTTTCCCACATCTCACTTCCCACTTTCCCACATCTCACTTACCACATCTCACTTCCCACTTCCTACTTTCTTACTTTTTTACATTTTCAATTTCTCACTATCCACTTTTCCTTTTTCTACTTCCCACTTCCTACTTTTCCACTTTCTCACTTTCTACTTCCCCACTTTACACTTTCTTACTTTCCACTTACTAACCATTTTATCTTTTAATTTCCCAATTTCTATTTTTCACTTTTCATTTCATAATTTCCCACTTATTACTTTCGATTTCCCACATGGAAAAAACACTGTTTTTTTAATCAGTTTGCAAATATTATGTTTACAAAAATTGTATTCCAAAAGCAATAAAAAACTTTTAATTTATAATAAAAATCAGTTTTATGTAATTGGAAAAAAATAAAAAGTAATTTTGTTTACTTACAAAGCAAAACCTAAGGAATTTGTAATTTCTGTGCATATCTAGAAACTTTTAAATAGGATATAGTCAAAATTATTACAAAAGGCGTGAAATGAGAAAGTTGGAAATAGAAAGTGAGAAAGTGGATAGTGATAAAGGAGAAAAATGAAAAAGTGAAAAAGTTAGAAAATGGAAAGTGGAAAATAGGATGTGAGAAAGTGGAAAGTGAGAAAGTGAAAAAGTGAGAAAGTGAGAAAGTGGAAATATTAAAAGGTGGGAAAGTAGGATTTGTGAAGTAGAAAGTGAGAAAGTAGAAATGTGAGGAAGTGGAAAATGGGAAAGTGGAAAGTAAGAAGTGGAAAGTGAAAAATATGAAGTGGAAAAGTGAGAAAGTGGATAATGAGAAAGTAAAAAAGTGGGAAAGTAGGAAGTGGGAAGTAGAAAAAGAAAAAGTGGACAGTGATAAATTGAAAATGTGAAAAAGTAAGAAAGAAGAAGTTGGAAGTGAGATGAGGGAAAGTGGGAAGTGAGATGTGGGATGTGGGAAGTGAGATGTGGGAAGTGGGAAGTGAGATGTGGGAAAGTGGGATGTGCGAAGTGGGAAGTGAGATGTGGGAAAGTGGGAAGTAAGAAGTGGAAAGTGAAAAATATGAAGTGGAAAAGTGAGAAAGTGGAAAGTGGATAATGAAAAAGTAAAAAAGTGGGAAAGTAGGAAGTAGGAAGTAGAAAAAGGAATAGTGGATAGTGAGAAATTGAAAATGTGAAAAAGTGAGAAAGTAGGAAGTTGGAAGTGAGATGTGGGAAGTGGGAAGTGAGATGAGGAAAAGTGGGAAGTGGGATGTGAGATGTGGGAAAGTGGGATGTGGGAAAGTGGGATGTGGGAAGTGAGATGTGGGAAGTGAGATGTGGGTAAGTGGGAAGTGAGATGTGGGAAAGTGGGATGTGGGAAGTGAGATGTGGGAAGTGAGATGTGGGAAAGTGGGATGTGGGAAGTGGGAAGTGATATGTGGGAAAGTTACGGAATCGACCCTCAGTTGAGTATTAATTTTTTTAACATGATCCAAAGTTTTGAAGATTTCCTGAAAATAAAAAAAAATTTATTTAATTTTCATAACAATATATATATATACTCCGTCCATCGAGAGTTTGCCCTCGGAAAAAGACGAGTTTTAGTCATTTTCGCGCAGAATATCATAAAAATGAAAGAGTTGGCGGAGTTTTGAAATAAGGACCGCCTTTTTGGGAAAAAAATGTTAATTTTATGCTTGGTTCAAACATATGGTTTAAATTGTCACTTCTAATCTCCAGTCGTCCGTGCGTTCACAAGTCCCAAGTTTATGAGGGTCCTAATAAACTGCACGTTAAAGTGCAATAAAAAATTTAAAAAAATTTTAGTTTTACAGATAATTAATTTTGAACAATATATTCGGAATCTGCAAATTCTCACGATTCTAATGATATGCAATAGTTTTGCTTTTGCATGAAAATGAAAAATGCTAAGTATATATGTACATATATATATGTATTGTGTAATATTATATTATATTATATTATATTATATTATATTATATTATATTATATTATATTATATTATATTATATTATATTATATTATATTATATTATATTATATTATATTATATTATATTATATTATATTATATTATATTATATTATATTATATTATATTATATTATATTATATTATATTATATTATATTATATTATATTATATTATATTATATTATATTATATTATATTATATTATATTATATTATATTATATTATATTATATTATATTATATTATATTATATTATATTATATTATATTATACTGTAATTAGAAAGTGAAAACTTCAATAAAATAAGAAAGTTATTCAAAAAGGGTCTGGATTTTTCTCTGTTCTTAGACAAAAATAAAGAGATAATCTTTAAAATTATGATGTACAATTGCCTGCAATTTTCCTTATAAATTCTCGAAGTATCTTTTGTCTGTAAAATCAGGTAAAGACATGGCTTGCTCATCGACACAGTTTTAAGGAAATTTTACGTTGCGTTCGTCAGTCTATTGCTGACATCGGTAGTAGATACTGTTTAAACTTATATACAGTTTTAGCTTGTTCAATAATTATTATTTTTAAATTTTTTTTTTATTATTACTTGATAAAAATGGAGGAAGGTGCGAATCAACTTTCACCAGTTTGAAGAAATAAAAGAGGCCAGGTAATAAATTTTATCTTATTATATGTTTTTGAATATTTAAACAAAATATATATCTCCAGAAATTGAATTTTTCATGAATGATTTTAAACATAATTTTCAACTCATTGGGAGTCGTATAAAAACAATTGCAATAAACATTTTCAAAAATTTGAAGGAAGTTAATCCTAACATTTTGAAAAAAGATGCAATTTTGCACATAAGTAAGGAAACTGCAATTGGAGAGAGAACGATCAAAAAAATTCTTTTAGAATATGAGCAGAGCGGTACTGTTATTTCTCCAAATAGAACTAAGTCTCGACCAAAAATCATTCAAAAATTGGATGAATTACAGAAGACCCTTATCAGAAGAAAAGTTCATGCTTTTTATGTCAACAAGGAATTGCCAACGTTAGATAAATTAAAAGCAGTTTTGGATGATGAAGAAGAATTTCCGAAGCTTTGTCGTTCTTCCATACATTCTGTATTAAAGGAATTGAAATTTACATACCAAAAGCGAAAAAGGAATAGTGTATTATTGGAAAGGAATGATTTAGTTTTATGGCCAAGGGAATATTTAGAAAAAATTCGTAAATATTGCGAAGAAGGAAAAACTATTTATTTTTTGGACGAAACCTGGATAAATGTAGGCGATGTTTCAAGCAGAGCTTGGTATGATGAAACAATCGTTTCAGGAAGACAAGCATTCCTCCGAGGTTTAACAACAGGACCACCAAATCCGACTGGAAAAGGAAAACGAATAATAGTTCTCCACATCGGGAGTGATAAGGGTTTTGTGGAAGAAGGGTTATTATTTTTCGAGTCGAAAAAAAATTCCATGGATTTCCATGACGAGATGAATGGAGAAAATTTTAAGGAATGGTTCGAAAATATAATAACAAAATTAGAAGACGATTGTGTGATTGTGATGGACAATGCTCCATATCATTCAGTGAAAGTGGAAAAAGTGCCAATTTCAACGTGGAAAAAAGTTGATATACAAAACTGGTTGAAAGAGAAGGGACTTAATTATGATGAAACAATGATTAAAGCTCAGTTGTTAAATATAGTAAAAGGTGTAAAAAAACAATATAATTCATATGTAATAGACGAAATAGCGAAAAAAAACAATAAGATTATATTAAGATTGCCTCCATATCATTGCGAATTAAATCCAATTGAAATGGTGTGGTCAATGGTAAAAGGTTATGTTAAGTCTAACAATTTTACATTTAAACTAGAAGATGTAAAAAAGTTATTATTAGAGGGGATAAATCGCGTCACATCAGAAAATTGGCAAAGTTGTGTCAGGCACGTTATCCGTGAAGAAGAGAAATTTTGGAATATTGATCATCGTATTGACGAGTTAGTAGACAGAATTCCTGCAATTGTTATTAATGTTTCAGTTGATTCTAGTTCAGAAAGTGAATAAAGAAAAAGATTTGTGTATATTGTATGTTAAACAAATTATGTTTTGTTGTGGGGGTGTTTACTCGCGTATTAGTGCACAATTATCTTGTAATAGTCGTAATACTTCGTAATAAGTGTAATAATAACATCATGAGTGTAAACTGAAGATGCACTATTATTTAAATAATAAAAATTTTAATTACAGTGAATGACTTAATTGTTATTATGTATATCAATTAATTAATCATAATTAACAATAATTAAAAATACAACCTTACATTAATAATTAAGTTAAATTAAAAGTTTACAATAAATTCTAAAAGCTATGTGTACATACAAACATTTCATTAATCACTGAATTTGTGAATTATTTAAATTTTAATGTATTATAGTCAAACAACATACTGTTGAAATCACAATAAAATGAGGATTTCAAAAATAACATTTTTAATTTTGTAAGAACAAAATTAAAAAACTTTGTATTCTTTATTAAGTCATTACCATTTGAATGTCCCTTTTAGGTATAAAGGTCATAAATTACCCTTTGACTCGTGAGAGCCTAAGACCGTGTGGAAAGTTAGGAGACCGAAACGATTGTCATTGGCTATTTTTCCGATGAAAAAAATTACGGAAACGCCATTTTTAAGTTTTTCAACGCCCTCAGAGAAAAAAACTGCGCGACCGAAAGCAAACTCTCGATGGACAGAGTATAGTATATTTAAAATTAAGAAAATCCTCTTCTTAGAGGTTTTGACACTTGAAATATTAATTTCTTGATCTAATCCAACGATGACAAGTTAATCGACCTCAGTAAAAAGGGAACCTGATGTTGAAAATCTAATCTTGAGCTAAAAAGAGAACATAATTAAAATCTATCTTTTCAAATAAATTATTGAAACTTTAATTGCCTTTTTATGATTTTAATAAAGGTTATTCCTTCAAAATCCATAAATAGCTCCTTAAGACGAAATTATCTAAAAAAAAGAAACTTTTAAAAAAAATTAGTCAAACAAATTTTTTTTTGGACAAAAATTATAATAAATAATATAATTATTAACTAAAGAATTAATTATATTAATAATAATTGAAAATTAATAAAATTGTTCAATTATTTTATGAACTAATTTTATTTAAACTTTTAAATTTCCCGATTAAGAATTTGAAATACCGGAAATAAGATAGATCTCAGCAGGAGCTAAGGAACATATTAATTAAAATAATAAATAAAAAGGGAAAAGGGGACAATATTAATAAAACTAAAGGGTACAAAAATGATTAATTAATAAATATAAAAGAATAAAATTAAGAGAAAACTAAAATTCAATGAATTAACTAATAACTAAAAAAAGGGGTAAAAGAGGAAAGGCAACAAGTGGAGTAAACTTCCGCTAAAGAATTCCTGGAATAACTGCGTCATTTCAAAGAAATACTAAAACGCAGAAGCCGCTTAAAAAAAATTTATATTTTTGAGAAATCTATATTTTTGGTGAATTTCCTAATGGCTATTCGAGCAGTAAATGTGAAGGAGCTTAATGTAAGTAAAAAAAATGATTGAAATGAAATGATGATGATAATATATATATATATATAGACAAAAAAAATATATATATATATAAAAAAGGGGGGATGAGTCTTTTATAATATTTGTGCAAGGTGTTTTCCTGAAAATAAAGTCCATCATGAGCAGGTTAAATATTGGAGGCTCAATACCGATAAAAATATACAAAGTTGCGATCAATGCCATGACATGCATTGTCGAATTGAACAGTTCATATTCAATTTTGAAAATAAATATTTATTCAGAGATTTTGGGCCATGGCACAGACCCCATTTCATTAAATGGAACCTGCATTCAATGCAACCGGATGAGGTTGTGCCGCTTTTTGAACATAAAAAATGCACTTGGTGCAGAAATTTTTTGGACAGAAATATAATGGATAGTGACAATTGTCAAATTTGTCGAAAAAATTACATCAAGAATTGAAAGTTTTTCCAACTTCCTCCTCCATTGATGCAAATGCATCCACTTTAAAATATTATTTAAAAAAATGTGTTTATACTTCTCTTTATTTAAAATTATTATAATAGAAAATTTTTATTTTTAAAAAGGGAAGAAATTGAATATATATTTACTATTTTTTTAAATTTCAGATTTTTATTTTACTTACCGTAGATTTCGTATCAATTTCTATAAGATTTCCAAAATCCAAATAAAATTCAATTACATTTTTTTTATGATTCCCATTTCTTTTTGTGATTTAAAGAAATACAGTTAAATCCTTAAATTAGGTTTCCAATCGATGATGATGACAACTTTCTTTGGATATTAATTTATTTTTTTTGCAGCTAAAAATAAGAAAATAAATTAATAATAATAAAAAAAGAACATTTTTCGTAAAAGTAAACAAAAATCAATATAAGATTAATTTAAATAAATTAGAATACTCACCAACTTTGAATAAATTGATTCCTTTTTGTTTTAATTTAATTTTCTCCTATAACACTGTAAAAAAGTAAATAATAATAATAAAACAAATCAGCCATCCAGAACACTAACCTGAAAGAAACAAAAGAAAAAGGGGTTAAGGTTATTTTATTAAAATTAAACTATATATTGTGACGAAGTGGTCGTCAAACATCCCCTGTTTAAAATGACGCGCTTGATTGCCGGGCCCAGGAGGAGGCGCCGCCAAACGTAAGAAGGTGTAGCTAGCCGCCGGGACGCCGAAATCAGATGTTCGCGTCGACGAGAGTATTACGATAGAGACTGTAGTGAGCAGTACAATTTGTGTGTATAGACTTGAGAGAGGAGTGAAAAGAAATATTTGTTGGTCGAGAGTTCGACAGTTTTGTAGTTTTGTGAGAAAAGTTGGATTTGTGGTTGAGCAATTGGTCGAGTGACCAAGAGGGGCTCATTTATTGTAATAATTGTTTGGAGAATAAAAGAAAATTGACGAGGAAATCGACCAAATTATTGATTTGACCTGTCGACATCTTTGAATTGATCGATTTGTGACGAGAGCTGTGGGTAAGTGAAAATTTGTTTTGTTTCCTGTCGTGTCTCAGAAGGTCTTTTCCCTTTTTTTTGACTGGTCTTGACGGAATCTCCTTTGAGATTATTTTTTTGGGAAATGTAATAGGTTTGTGTAATAAAAATTAATAAAGTTCGATAAAGGAATGTGGTTTGTCAATTCCAATAAAAATTGACTGGCGTCTAACTATTCGCGATTGGGTTTCTTTTTATAACAAATAAAAAGGGGAGGTTAATTAATAAACTTTTAATTATTCCAATATTCACGTTATAAAAAAATTGGCGCCCAACGTGGGGCATTGTCGAGACATTTGAGACACGACAAATTTAATTGTGACTTGTGGTATTTGACTTAATTTGTTCTATAAAATTTTCTTGTAATTTATGATATTATTTATTGTTGATTTGAAAATTTATTTGACATGTTTTGTGCATTTTTTTTTGTGACATGGGCGAGGAGATTTTTGGTGTGTAGAATCAGTGCACGTTAAAGAAAATTTTTGTGAAAATTATCGCGTCCACGAGGCGACGCCATTTTCATCACGAAAATTTTCAAAGCATAATTTCGCGGAAAATTCCTGACAGATTTTTAAAATTAAAAATTTTCTGAAATCAGTGAATTTTTTTTTGATTTTTGGAAGTAGTTATTTTTATGAAAATTATTATATTTTCACTTTTTGTTCCCCACGTGGCCGGCTTCCGTGGAAAATTCCAAGCCTCACGTGATAGTACGCGCATGCGCTGTTAGAAACCTCGCATGAGTTTAAAATTCGAATCTCGGTGCACATACACTCGCGGATCGTGAAAATTTTCTAAGAGAACATTGTTATTGCGCATGACACGGGACTTGGAAATTTTGAACAGAAAGAAGTACAGTGAGAGTAGAATGAGATAGAGTATCGAGCGAGATCACGGATAAGAGCGATAGAAAAATCGAAATTAAGAATTGTAACAATTTATCGTAAATTGTCAAGATTTTTTTTTTAATAATTGTTAAAATTTTGAGAAAATTATGAACAATTTTTCAGGGCCGTATTGACATATTGGGACCCCGTGGAAATTAATTTTGACAATTCGCAAGAAATTTTTACTTTGTTGATAAAATTAAAAATTTTTTTTTTGACAAGAAAATTATCTTATTAAATTAAACATTTGGTCAGGACCGTATGACAAGGGTACCGGGCCCAACCAAAAGAAATTTTGATACTTGAGTGGAAATTTTTAAGGGAGAAAATTTTCCGTTATGACAGTCAACCAAATTGTTACGATTATTGTTGACCAGGACCGTATCTAGAGGAGACGGGCCCCCAAAAATAAATTGTGCCATTTTGCATAAATAAAGAATTAATTTGTTTAATTTTTGTTTGTTGACTCTCAACCAAAGCAATCAAAATTTAAAGTGACCAGGCCCGTATCACGGAGTTACGGTACCCCAAAAATTTTTTTTTTGATAAATTTTCAAAATTTTTCTGGTCGGCGATTAAATAATTTTTTTTTGCGTTTAGTTTTTGGAATTTTTTTTTGTGATTCGCAATGGAACTCTCACTAGTTGAAATAAATGACTACGTAGAGAAAATGCACAACCTGATGTTGTTGGAACAACCGAGAATTACATGGGGTACAATTCTAAGCATGCCAATAGGGCAAGTTGTGACAACATTATTACAACATCAGTGTTGCATTAGTGGGAGTGCACAGGTACTCAGAGAGAGGTTATTCAGAATTAGTCTGAGAATTGATTTTGCCAATCAATTTGAAGTCCCCTTTTCTGAACTATTTGACCTGGGACAATCTCAAGAGATATTCAGGGTAGAAGCGTTTACTTTCCCAACAGACGAGGAAAGACAAAATATCAACTTAAACAGAGGAGTGGGGCAAAATTCTGACAGTGAGGAGGAAGCGGGACGTGGTTCACCTCGTGACTTGGGAATTTTGGGAATGGACAGGAGTGGGGGAAATAGCGCGTCACACAGCAGACACAGTCCGATCAATGACAACCTACCACCCCCACCCCCACCACCGGTCATGACTTCGGCATGTATCATGACAAATTCGGTAATCACCACGATGTCCCAATCATTTTCCACAACTACTTGTGCGATAATGACAGCACCCCAAACGATAGTGTCATCCACAATGGCACCAAGTGTCCTCAGTTTAAGGGAATCGGTCGCTCGTTTTAGCCTGAGTCCGGAAATGAGAAAACTTATTTTATTAAACCAACGTTTTGCAGAGTTATCAACGGGATTTGACTTGGGAGGGGTAATTGATTCAGGGATAACCCACCAAATGCCAATTCAGAGCACACCCCAAAATCAACAGAATGAAGTTTCTCATACACCCCTACAAAGAGAAACTGACGAGAGAAATAATTCACATCACCCCACCCCAAACGTTGGGACTATTGAGAATTTTAAGTGTCCCATTTCAAAACAAGAAAGAATTTCAAGGTTAGCGACTGATGGTAGTGAGAAGAGCACTGACGTGGGAGAAGAATCGAGGTTTGACAAGAGATCGGTGTTGGGTGGGAGGGAACAACGTCCATATAGGGACAGTGACAGAGCGCGATCTGGTAGAAATACAAAGAAAACAAATGCTAGGAGGACTCTTTTCGACGAGACATCTAGTGACTCGGAATCAGAGAGCAGCGACACATTACCGACAAGACGTGACTTCCGAGAAGCAGAGAGGCGCTCTAAAGTTACAAAAATCCTCAAAGATTGGGACATTAAATTTTCCGGAACCGAGCGTGAAGACCCGGAAGAATTCCTGGAGCGGATGGAAGATTGTCGATTAGGCGAGTTGTTCAATGACGAAGAACTCCTGCAAGCAATTCCGAGTATTTTTCGAGAAAACGCGAGTCGTTGGTTCCGAACTTTGCGACATGACGTCAAATCATGGAAATCGTTCAAACGGGCGTTCAAACGCGAATATTTGACTACGACCGACGATGACGAGGTGGTTGACGAACTGAGGAGTAGAACTCAAGCTAAGGGGGAGAAGATTTCTGCATATTTGACAAGTTTGAGGTTAATAATGGGACATTTAAAAAGACCATTGTCAACGGAGCAACAAGTTAAAATTGCGTATAAAGGGCTGACCCCAACATATCGTCGACAGGTGGATGCATCGGGAATGGAGTCTCTCTCCAAGTTGGAGAAAAATTTGCGTCAGTATGAGAAGGTGAAGGACCTTGATGACCGGTATCTTCCCCCACCCTCAAAAGAGAAGATGCGTTTCCCCGCTGCAGCGTTCAAAGGGAGAAAGAAAGAGTCGACTAAGGGTTCGAAAAATGTGGCCGCGATAGAAAAGGATGAAGGTACCACTGATCAAGAGAGTATTGCGGAAGTGACCAGCGGGACGAAAAAGGCGGAAAAGAAAACTAAGAAGTCAAAGACGAAAAAGTCCAAGACGAAAAAGAATTCTGAGGAAGTGGAGGTGGAAGCCTTGAAACAAACTACCCCCACCCCTCCCACCGCCCCAGTCCAGGTACCGAACCCGCCGACGTACGCTGCCGTAACGGCGAACAAAGGGAACAAGAGGTTCCAACCTAAACAGGCTGGTACAGGGACAGTACCAGTGGGACAACCAGGGACACCAAAACCATTTGTTGGCATATGCTTCATTTGCCAAATGGTAGGACATCGTTCTACACAATGTCCACAAAGAACGTGTTTTGTGTGTCAGCAACCAGGGCATTTTGCAGCACACTGTCCCACCCGTGCCCAACAGTTGGAATCTTGTCTGGTATGCAAGACTCCCGGGGTAAATTTTTTGACATGTCCCACATGTATCCACGTGCGTAATGCATTGGGAAACGGCCAGTGGGGGGCACAGAACGCGTCTGTACCCCCCTCCAATCCCCCCAGAAATCAATAGACAAGATTTCTTATGACAGGGTAGAGAGGTCAGAAAATTCTAAAGAGAAAAAGAAAGGGTTAAATTCATTCCCAGTCAACCAAGGAGCATCTTGCAGTTGGCAGTGGAGTGGGGATGAAGTTGTTGACCAGAGTAAGAGGGAAGTAAGTAAAGGAGAGGTGAAGAGTAAGGAGTACTTACTCATAAAAGGGAGTATGATTGATGGGACAAAAGGTACTGAAGGTAAGTCAGTACCAATGGTCCAAGGAAGGGGAGAGGCTGTGACGGGCACAGTTGACCCAAACCTTATTATTGACAAGGATGTGGATGGTAGCCGATGCGAAAACAGATACTTCTTCTGTATGCACATTGGTAAGAATTCTTTTGAGGCACTTTTCGACCCTGGAGCAATGGTTTCAGTAATCAGTGACAGAGTGGCAGCGCCTTTCAAAGATCGAATCCAGCCTTGCAATACGTCAATCAGGAGTGCTATTGGAGGTACTACCGAAACAGCAGGAATTTTAAACTTGAACATCACTGTGGATGGTCATTCCCAGAAATTCGCTGTTAAAGTTCTTAGCTCAGTGATTCAGGACATCATTTTAGGCGTTGACATTTGCAAGGCTTGGAAGATGGATGTCCAATTGGGACCTGGGTTGTGGAGAGTCTTCGGTGGTGAATGGCACGTGTTCTGCGTAAAGGACACTATAGAGGGCGAAGAAGAGATATACGCCGAGTGTGCAGGTATCTCTGCGTTGACGGACAAACAAAGAGATATCGTGCAAGAGGTGGTTAACCGCCTAGTTCTACCACAGGGTGAGACCTTGGGTATGACAGACTTGACGGAACACCACATCAGGATGACGGATGAGACTCCAGTCCAGCACCGACAACGACGAATGTCCCCAATTATGATCACTTGGGCACAGGGTCATGTTGTCCAACTGTACAGACAAGGGGTAATAGAGCCGTCGGGAAGTAATTGGAGGACAGCTCCGGTTATAACAAATAGAGGCGATAATGATTTTCGACTATGTATGGACTTTAGGGACGTGAATAAAGTCACGGTAAAAGACGCGTATCCACTTCCGACGATAGATTCGATTCTTGACAAGCTTAGAAGAGCCCGTTACCTATCGAAAATTGACTTAAAGTTGGCATACCATCAGATTCCCATGGCCGAAGATAGTAAAAAGTACACAGCATTTGCCATTCCTGGCTCAGGACTTTGGCAATATCGCCGTATGCCTTTCGGTTTGACGAACGCACCAATGACGTTCCAACGACTGATTGACGCCCTTTTTGGACCGGAATGTGAACCATTCGTGTTCGGATATCTTGACGACATCATCGTTGTGACTGATAATTTTGACGAACACCTTAAATGGTTAGAATTAGTGTTGAAGAGGTTGGCTGACGCGGGTTTGGTGGTGAATCCTGACAAGTGTGAATTTGGTTGCTCACAAGTCAGATATCTGGGATATCTTCTGGATAGCGAGGGATTACGACCTGACCCGAAGAAAACGGAACCGGTACAGAATTACCCAGCTCCGACAAACGTCAAACAAGTCCGTAGATTTTTGGGTATGGTAGGTTGGTACTCTAGATTCATCAAAAATGACAGTGACATAAAAGTACCACTCCTCAAATTACTTCAAAAGGGTCGCGAATGGGAATGGGGTGACGAGCAACAGGAAGCTTTTGACGTGTTAAAGAAGAAATTAACATCGGCTCCAGTTCTAGCCCGTCCTGATTTTAGCAAAACGTTTACCATCCAGTGTGATGCTAGCAACTATGCTATTGGTGCTGTTTTGACTCAGGAGTTTGACGACGGTGAACATCCGATTATCTACATTAGTCGAGTGTTGACTGGGGCGGAGAGAAATTATAGTGTCACAGAGAAGGAGTGCCTGGCACTATTATGGGCAATTAAGAAGTTTCGGACATACGTTGAGGGATATAAATTCCGAGTGATCACGGATCACAGCGCATTGCGATGGCTAAGGAATTTAAAAGACCCGACCGGACGACTTGCGAGATGGGCACTAGAAATGCAGTGTTGGAACTTTGAAATCGTTCACCGGAAGGGTGCACTGAACAATGTTCCTGACGCATTGTCTAGGATGACTGAGGATGACGAGACGGGAATTGACGCGTTCGAGACTATTGAAGACCAATGGTACCTAAACAGGATGGAAATGGTCCAGAAGTTTCCAGCACGATTCCCGGGCTGGATGATTGATAACGAACTCTTATATCATTATCGAAACGATCCTTTGCTTCTTCCAATTGATGGTAACGAGGATGGCTGGAAGTTGGTCGTACCAGAGGAATATAGAGACAGAGTTCTACATGACGGTCATGCAGTCGTATCAGCGGGTCATCTAGGAGTGGAGAAGACTTATAACCGAGTGGCTAGGGAGTACTACTGGCCAGGAATCTGGAACGATATCCATCAGTACGTTACTCGTTGTCCTCAATGCCAACTCCATAAGGTCTCTCAGGCTGGTCCCTTAGGATTGATGGGACAGAGAATCGTGGAACGACCTTGGTCAGTCGTGGCGGCTGACACGATGGAATTCCCCCCCAGTAAGAGTAGATGTAGATACTTGGTGGTTTTTCAGGATTTGTTCTCGAGATGGGTCGAGTTAAAACCCTTAAGATCAGCTGACGGGAAGTCGGTGACTAGAGCATTCGAGGAGTTGATACTTTTCCGATGGGAGACACCCAACTTTTTGTTAACTGACAATGGGAAGGAGTTCGACAACCGGTATCTCAAGGACGCACTTCAGGAATATGGAGTGAAGCATATTACTACACCTCCATATCACCCTCAAGCCAATCCGGTAGAAAGGAGTAATCGGACCTTAAAAACCATGATTTCGGCATTTATTGGGAGTGACCATCGTGACTGGGACCTCCATGTTCACGAATTTCGACATGCGATGAACACGGCGACCCAAGCAACAACCAAATCTTCCCCCGCTTACTTGAATTATGGTAGGAATCCCCGATTAATTAAAAGTTTGCGACGAGAGGTTGAGGCCAAAGACAAGGTAGTTCTGATAAAACCAGAAGAGTGGGTTGACAGAGTGAAACGTTTAGACGCGTTGCGGGACTTGGTGAAGAAGTTCATTGACAGGGAACGTGACAGACAATCTGGGTACTATAATCGAAACCGCAAGGACGTGCCCTTTAAAGTAGGAGATTTGGTACTACGCAAAACCCATAAGTTATCTAGCGGAAACCGAAATTTTGCGACAAAACTTGCACCAAAATACGAGGGACCATTTGAAATTGTCGAACAATTGTCCCCAACGGTATTCGTATTGCTCGCTAGTGATAGTCGCAGAATCCCCAAAGTCCATGTCACCGACCTTAAGAAATATCTACCCCCTCGAAATTGCCTAATTCCGTACTAATAAATTTTAAAATTTCAGATATCGGAGAGAGTAATTTTGACAAGGGAAAGAGGAGTTGGAAACGAGAAAGGACGTTTGACTCGAGTGACAGAGGTGAGAGGAGTCGTGACAAGGCAAAGCGAAGGCGGAGAGAGAACTATCGTTCAGTACCGCATTTACCAAAGAACGACATGCCACGCAGAGGATTGACCAGGGGAAGATCAGCATCGCGGCACAGAGCGACCGAAGAATTCCAGCCACCATCCGATGTGACAGCAGCGCCTCCACTATTAGACTTTCCCGTACTGGAACCCGAACGGGATAGGTCATCGGGAGCTATTCCTCGTCGACCTAAATCTGACGTGGGGAAAGTGAAGGAAGATTGTAGTACATGGGAAGTACTAGAACCGAGACGTTTCCCACGAGCCGAACACGAGGACCCAGACCTACGTCGTAGACAGGAGGAGAGTTGGGAAGAATTTGGGAGCAGAATTGTAGTCGAGGAGCTTGAACGGTTTGTCCAATTCCAAGAACCGAAGACTTCCGTTTCCTTGGAACAACTCAAGGAAAAACAACGGGCGGAGATTAAGGCTAGGAAGCCCGTACTCCGGAAGGAAGATTTGTTCTACCCCGATGACGAGGAGTTGGTAGAGGAGGTACGACCCATTACCCCACCAGGCCCCCCGACTAGACGAAATAATACGACCCCCCAATTGACAAGGGACGAAGTTGTGGCGAAAACTGGCGGAGACAGGCGGGGAGAAGCATTGCCCCGAAAAACGACAGGGGTAATGTTCAACGATATGAGATCAATACCCACTGACCCGACGATTGACCCCCCACCATGGACTTGTCAAAATTGTTGGCGCCGAGGCCACCGCCGCAATGATTGTCCTAAAGAAGTGACGGAGAGTTGTTGCGAAAACTGCGGTAGAAAATACGTAACACTACATAACTGTCCAAGGTGTGAGGAGGGTTATAAGCGTTATTTGTTGCGGGGAAGAGCAACAAATAATCCAACATTGACTGGGGAGTTGACGGGAGATACTAGGAGAATACCACGACGTGAGGGCAGCGCGTTGTTGCCAGACAAGTGGAAGGGAAATGACGAGCTGTGCAAGAAGTTTAATTTGCCAGAGGCCAAACTGACGGAGGTTTCAAAGGAAGCGCCCAAATCAAAGTTGGTACCGGCCAAACCACCAATTGTGGAACTGCTTCCGACGAGAGAAACTCCATTGTTGGTCGACATTCCCCCTCCAGCGTATTATGACGTGACAGCTCCTAAGAAAAAGGAGAAGAACCTGGCGGAAGCCATCCGAGAATTGACAGAGTTGATGGCAGGACTACCGATGGAAACCATCAACTTGGCGATTCGCCAATTGATCGAGGAGCGCAGGAACTCGGGTGGAAAAGAGGAGTGATTGGAGCTGCTCGATAATTATTTTGACATGGGATGGGATGGTTTGCTTTTGAGTTTTTCTTTTTCTTTTTTTTGAGTTTGTTACAGGTTCGGTTGATTTTTCTTTTTGGTTTGACGTGTTATCTGGAGGTAACACGGACTAGGAGAGGGGCTTTGTGACGAAGTGGTCGTCAAACATCCCCTGTTTAAAATGACGCGCTTGATTGCCGGGCCCAGGAGGTGGCGCCGCCAAACGTAAGAAGGTGTAGCTAGCCGCCGGGACGCCGAAATCAGATGTTCGCGTCGACGAGAGTATTACGATAGAGACTGTAGTGAGCAGTACAATTTGTGTGTATAGACTTGAGAGAGCAGTGAAAAGAAATATTTGTTGGTCGAGAGTTCGACAGTTTTGTGAGAAAAGTTGGATTTGTGGTTGAGCAATTGGTCGAGTGACCAAGAGGGGCTCATTTATTGTAATAATTGTTTGGAGAATAAAAGAAAATTGACGAGGAAATCGACCAAATTATTGATTTGACCTGTCGACATCTTTGAATTGATCGATTTGTGACGAGAGCTGTGGGTAAGTGAAAATTTGTTTTGTTTCCTGTCGTGTCTCAGAAGGTCTTTTCCCTTTTTTTTTGACTGGTCTTGACGGAATCTCTTTTGAGATTATTTTTTTGGGAAATGTAATAGGTTTGTGTAATAAAAATTAATAAAGTTCGATAAAGAAATGTGGTTTGTCAATTCCAATAAAAATTGACTGGCGTCTAACTATTCGCGATTGGGTTTCTTTTTATAACAAATAAAAAGGGGAGGTTAATTAATAAACTTTTAATTATTCCAATATTCACGTTATAATATATATATATATATAGAAATAACATATAAAAAAATTGTGTTTCGAAATTTCGGAATTAGTTTCTTTAAAATTCCAAATTCAATTCGCGAAGCTGAAGTACACAACGTTTATCAACGACATTTATGTTTAAAGTTATTTATTGACCCTAAATTACATATATTTATTGTAGGCGGAATATTTAAAGCATTTTTCAGATAAATATTCCGCCTATGTTAAATATGAGCCGCAGGATATTATAATTAAAATTTCTACAGCGGTATTCGTTGGCCCCTGGTACCTTTAAAGATCAATTTTTAAAAATAATTATTTTTTTTAATTATTATATATCTTGTAGGAAATTTTCTGGCGCATCTTTATTCTCATTATAAATTTTTTTTGTATTTGTAACATGAAATGGTATTTCAATAGTCAAAAAAATTTTTATTACGAAATAATTATAAATTATTTAAATTATAAATGAATAAATATTAAAAATTAAATTATATAAAGTAATGAAATTAAAACTAGATAAATTGAATTTCTGAAAATAATAGAAAGAGAGAGAAGATATCTATAGATAACACAATGAAAACATAAACAGGAAAAATAATAGAAAGAGAAGGTAGATATAAATACGAATTATGAGAATTATTAATTTAATTTAAATTTAAAGTTTCCTTTTTATAAATAAATAATTTATATGGATTATTATTTAAAGAATAAATTTATTTTATATTTTTTCTTTAAATTATTTGGAAAATAAAATAATAAAAATTATTTTATAAATTGCTGAAATTAATAATAATTGAATAAAATTTTATGTTGCATTAAAGTAAAAATTATTTAAAAATTAATGGTAAAAGTTAAATAATTTTAGAATCAGTATTTTTTGAGAAATTAAAGTTTTTAGAAAATGAAAATCAGTTAGAGAAAAATGATTGACAGCTAGACAATGGCATTGTTCTTGGCGAACGTTTGAAACGGAATTAGAGAGAGAAAAATATCTCTGTCCTTTGAAAATAATTTAAATGTAATTGGCTATTCGAAAATAGACGCCGCGAAAAATCCAAATAGAGGGAGAAATTGGCGGTAAGAAATACATGGGAGAAGCGCCTTGCGTAAAGTGGTGAGGGAAACTCGCGGATTTTCGCTCAATCAATTTGAAATTCCTTACTCACACACTTGCACATTTTGATTTTTACTTACCCCAGAAAATTAAGGGTAGGGACGCAACTATATAAGCCGAGTAAATGCACGTTTCTGTCTCTTTTGTCTGAACAGTTTTAAACTGGTAAGAGCTTTCTTCTATATTTTATTATAAAGAAATTTCAGAACTATACAAATCTACAAAGTCAAGTCTCTCGAACTTGAGAGTTACAGATTGTTGGGGGCTTTCTAACGATCTCTACCTAAACGATCTGTATCTCTGGGCGAAAGAGATCTCAAAGATTAAATCGTAATAAAAAATAAAATTTATTTTAAATGGTTAAATTTGAGAGACCAATTGTTAGGGGCTCTCTAACGATTTCTACCAATACGATTGGTTCTTCTCAAATTAACAATTGATAATTGTTGAAGAGGAAAGTCTGTTGTCAGGGGCCTTCGAAAGATTTCTACCAACACGACAAACTTTCCAAATCTTCAATTAAATAAATTATTATTTAACAACAACAAATATACCAACAAAAATCTTCAAAGTCACGCCACGGAAAATCAATGGTCAGGGGCTTTCTAACGATCTCTACCAACACTGTTGATTTTCCAAGAGTGGTATCAAAGACAAAATCGTAATTCTTGTTTAATATTCTTATATGCCATGTGCATTGCAATAGGCGATCCACTTGACAATTTGAAAGATTAAACTATAAGAGATGATCCTGACAACCCCAAAAATTAACTAGAATAGGATATAATTAATTAATTAAATTAATTATCTAGTAGGGTTTTCAGAGATAAATCTATTAAACTTTAATGTATACATCATTGTTTAACAATATTTTGTTAAATTATGATTGGTGATTAAGGTTTAATCTTTTAATACCAAAATTAGAAAATTTAAAAATAGAATTAGGAGAAACTAACCCTAAAGGTTTTGTTAGGTAAAGTTTATAAAATCCTTAAATAATTTATTTCATATTTTTTTTGTAGATTTTCAAAGCAATAAAAAAACCAATATTCGAAACTTCTTTAACAAGTGATATAATCACTGAATCAAGGTGTGTTAATATTTATTTCTATTTGTTTATAAATATTAAGTTGAATTCAAGTAAATTTTATTCTATTCAGAACTGGGAGAATTAATGAGGAAAGACTCACAATCGTTTATATAAACAAAGAATAACTATATTGTCAGATAGTTTGTTTATTTATATTACTTATACAAAAACAATTAATTCTTTTATTTATTATTTTCTTAGCATCAAATTCTTTGAAACGATAAACAATCAATTGTTTAAACAAGTAAAAGAATTTTGAAAAGTTAATAACAAAAGCTAAAAAACTAAATAATTATTGGAAAGATTCCTCTAATTTAGTTTGAAAAGCGACAACTAACTTAAAAATAAAAGAGAAGAATATAAAAATATAGATATAGAATTTGGTAAAGCAAAAAAAAAGAACAAGATAAATACTAGCGTATTTTCATTCATAAATTTTACTACGTGTTTACAATCTTATCTGGTAATATAGTTAGCACGTGTCTCATTATATTGAATAATAGAAATTAAGAATATAATGTCCCTTTAAATTTTGACAATACCATTGTTCCTTTTATATAAGAGATAATGGAATGTGGGTGATACTTCCCTAAACATTTATGTTTATGACTTATCAACCACATGTTTGAACTCATTTGCTTCTCAGAATCGATGTGTCATGTAAATTTAATTAAATTAGAATAAGAAATTACATAATATATTAATAATCCCCGGACTGAGAGCTTATGAATGCTTCAAACAGTTTTTGAGAAAAAATCTAAATTTTTCATAAAATCACTTTTAATTAAAATTTCTATTATCCTTAATAATAATTCTTCATTTTTTAATTAGAAAAAAAGTTATTAATTTCTCTGAATAAAATGTTTATTGATACACAATTATTATTAGGGATCATTCAAATGATAGTTTAAATTATAAATCCTGTAAATTGTATGTATAAGTATTCAGAACTTTACATTTTATAACGAATTAAAATGAAAATTTTAATTAAAAGTGATTTTCAGAAAAATTTAGTTTTTTGCATTTTTCTTAAAAACTGTTACAAATACAAAAAAATTTATGAAAAGAAAAAAGATGCGCCAGGAAATTTCGTACAAGATAGTAATTAAAAAAAATTGTTTTTGTTGATAAACGTTGCGTACTTCAGCTTCGTTTCAATTCTATTAAATATTAATTATATAAACATATCATTTTCATTATTATCATTTAATATGTAATAATTTTCTAATAAATTAAAATTATTATTGATAATATTAATTTTAATTTTTTTATAACAAACAATTACGTAATCAATTTGGCGCGCTTGCGCGCGTTTAACTGTGCTAGTTTAATAATAATATAATCAAAACAATAATTTAATTATAATTAAAGCTGTGCAAAAGTTCGAATTTTGTATGGGCTCGGATCGAATATTCGATTCGAGTCCATGTTAATTCTTATGGAGCGGTTCAAATTTTAAAAACTTGCACAGCTCTAATTATAATTGATAAAACACAAATTAAGAAAACAGACAAATTCAAAACATAAACAAATAGCAGACGACATTGGCGGAAGATACAAAATAGAAAGTTACAATTAAATTTGAACAATATATTTTATTATTAAAATACTGTTTTATTCAAAAGAAAATAAAAAATAAAATAGAATTATCCTGAATATTATAAATAAAATGATAAAAAGGAGAAATTGAAAAATATAAATATTAAAAGTATAATTTTTTTTGGACTTACCAAAAGACAGAGTGCGTAATCCAAATAAATAACTGTAAATAATCACTGAATAACCCTTTTCACTAAAAAAACGGGGGAAGAATATAAATTAACAATTATCATTTAAAGAAAATTTGATCATAAGATCAAAATTTTCTTGTAAGGGGAGAAGTGTAACAGTAATCTGTCACTGAACTTCAGAGTTTGGAAAATCTTTGTTATACGCCACGGATGAGAATGAGACTTACGTATGAGTTACGTATAGTTAACATATAACTTACGATTAAAGCAATATTCAAATTTGAAATTTTGAATATCGTATTTTAATGAACAAAATACATTATTTATAAAATTAATTGGCTTATATAAGCTAAACCAAAAAATAAATTTATAATCTGAAGAATTTAGATTAAGAAAGGGAAAAAGGGTCCAAGACTAAAGGTGGGAAAATAGTATAAAAATGAAATTTTAAAAGTAGGGACCAGATTTTTCGACTATAACTCGAGTTAGATACGTGTTTTTAAGTTAACAAAAAAAACTAATAAAAGACTTAGAAAATTTTAGAGAAGTAGAACTTGATTATTTTCTTAGTGAAAACCAAATAGAAAGAGTTAACATAAAAAATAAATCTTAAAAAAAGAAGTTATACAATACTAAGTAAAGAAATGTATAAAAGAAATGACTTGATATAATTTAAGAACAAAATGTATGGTAAAAGATATTATCTAAATAAAAGAGAGACTAGCCTAGCTATTCTTTTTGCTCGCTCGGTCCTACTCCAGCCTTGCT